TAAGGCTTGATCAAGCCATGAAAGTGATGGTAGCGTAGCGCAAAGAGTACCTCGCAGAACTGTTTCCCTGAACAAAACAAAAAGCAAGCAAAATATAAACTTAACGAAATTTATTTGCCCTTCTGTATTCGGTTGCATGTCAAAGTTTGCTCTTCAATTTAGTCCCTCCAAAAATACAATACAATACAATCAATTTTATTATTAATGTCAATACAAGGGGCGAGTTTGCACTCATGTATGCCAGAAGCTCGTGTAAAAAACGCAATCGAATTACACTATAAATTTTTATGTTCTGATGGATCGGAGCAAAAGATCTTTATACATGTAAGAAATGTTAGCTTTGTTTTTGATGTTTCTTACAACGATTACACAACGATTTATTTGCACAATACTGGTTTATACACCACGTAGCTTTCATTCCCATGCTCATTTAATTTTACTTATTTAAACTGAGGAGTGGTACATTTCTTACAAATGTATACAGGGATAAGAAAAACTGATTGCACAATCCACTCTTAGAACTATAGTCAGGTTGTTATTGAGGCAAACTGAACGCAGAATAACAAAGTTCTACGTACTTAAAAACTGATTACGTATAATTTTTCGGTAATTCGTACTTCTTCGATTAAGCGCCCGGTACTCATATTTTTAACTATACAAATATGATCTCCTTGTCAATCTCCACAATGATTGAATCTATTTGATTCATATTCAATGTTTTTGTTTTCCCAGAATAAAAAAACTGGAGTAATACCGTCCTCTCTTACTACATACATTCATTCATTCACGCATGCTGGCGGCTTTTTCAGGACAGGGGTGGGATTATATTTTGAATTTCATGATTGCACGGGGGTGCATAATCGAAGATGGCAAATGAAATGTGTGTTATTCTACAGATACAGTAAAATATGAGTACCCATGCCGATCGTTTCCGCACAGCTTCAAAATGTTGTACTGTCTACATTTTCTGATTGACATTTATGTAATATCTTTCGCCGGTGCTTTCTATGAAATGAAGTACTCTCCTGAGAAAAAAGTAGCTATAATATGCACGTGAGCACTTTAAAATGCACCGTTGTTGCTGAGCCAACAATGAGTGCTTTACTTTACCTAAGGCGATTTACTGTTATGACTGTTTTTACCTCCTGAGTAAATTACTTTTTTGCTAGAGGAGACCAATATATGTGCCAAGGCTATTTCTAGGCAAATGTTGGCACGATTAACACAATGAAAATAAAAAAGAGTGCGATGGCAATTCCAAAACCAATGGCAAGAATTGCTGAAAATTTTGTATCTCTGGATGCGTCCACAGCTCTTTTGAGGTCATCTTCTTCATAGCGCTGATTAGTCTGAAAAAAAAAATGTTACTTAGTTATTTAGTTTTTCGACTACAGAGATTCCTACTAACAGAGCTTCAGAGGAAGTGGGGGACCCATGCAAAGCCATGGTCCAAAGCCATGTGGCTCACATAAACTATGCATGAGTTAGGTAATCCGTACAACAGAACATTACAGTAATCCAAACGACTAGTTACAAATACATGAGCAAGAATTTCAGTTGAACCTTTGCTAAGATATTTCCAGGTCCGATCAATGTAGTATAACTAATAAGATGCTATTTTGCAAATCTTATTGAGTCCATTCACAAGAGACCATGACCTAGACGATCGTCTTAACTACAGATATTCCAATCAACAGTGGGTTGATACCAAGCTTATTCAGAGTTGCTGATTGGCACAAATCTGAACAAACTCGGTCTTATCATCATCAACATCATTTACTACGAGATTATCGTTAACCATCTATCATCTCAGGTGGTCGATGCAAGCTTCCATGGCAGCGACCAAAGACAGGTGGGAAACAACATCGCCCAGTCTGAACGCAAAGTACTGAGAGCTGAGTATAATCAGCGTGACAACGCTCCGGTGCCAAAGGTTTACCAACAATCTCTGATAACATACATGCAAAAATGTAATTATGCTGATTGGCTGATAGCACCTCAATAAATCAAAAACAGTGCAGAAAGTTGAAATTGAGAACGGAAAGCCGAGATTGAATTACATGTACATTATTCGGTCTTATTAAGAAGTAGTCTCGAGCATTTGGAATAGATAAGCACTTGTATTTTTTTTTACTCCCTGAAAAATTACTCCAAATTGCACGAAAAAATTACTTGATTACCTAAACGAACAGCTTACAAGAGTGCATTGTAAATAGGAGCAGACTGAAGCATGGGCCTTGTGGAAAACCAAACTTAAAACTTCAATTCGGACTAGAACACTGGAAAAANTGGCACAAATCTGAACAAACTCGGTCTTATCATCATCAACATCATTTACTACGAGATTATCTTTAACCATCTATCATCTCAGGTGGTCGATGCAAGCTTCCATGGCAGCGATCAAAGACAGGTGGGAAACAACATCGCCCAGTCTGAACACAAAGTATTGAGAGCTGAGTATAATCAGCATGACAACGCTCCGGTGCCAAAGGTTTACCAACAATCTCTGATAACATACATGCAAAAATGCCATTATGCTGATTGGCAGAGAGCACCTCAATAAATCAAAAACAGTGCAGAAAGTTTGAATTGAGTGAAAAAGTTGAAATTGAGAACGGAAAGTTGAAATTGAATTGCATGTACATTATTAGGTCTTATTAAGAAGTAGTCTCGAGCATTTGGAATAGATAAGCACATTTTTTACTCCCTGAAAAATTACTCCAAATTGCACGAAAAAGTTACTTGATTACCTAAACGAACAGCTTACAAGAGTGCATTGTAAATAGGAGCAGACTGAAGCATGGGCCTTGTGGAAAACCAAACTTAAAACTTCAATTCGGACTAGAACACTGGAAAAAGGTCATGAGTTATGTATTGACTTTTGGGGTATTTGTGAGTTAGCCCCCGGCATTTTATTCCTTTCTTCATCCAGGCTCCAACCCAAGGATTTCTCCAGCAGGTAGCTGTATAACTCATATTCTGAGTTGCTATGGAGTAAATGAGTAAGTTGTTGTACCTACCAGAAATGACATGACAAGTGCCAAGAGGCCAAGCAGTGGACAGAAGAATATCGACACAATGGCCAGAACGCGGTAATCGTTCGGAGGAGCTTCCCTGAGTGGTCCACGCTTGGAAAATGTACAAGAAAGGCCATTTTAGTAAGACATCGGTCAACATACAACTGGTGACCCCATTCTAATATATATTACTTGAAAAACGGCGGCTAGAGAGCTTTAAAATAATATTATTAATTTGGTTAAACATTCTGTTAAGCTCCCCGTTTTAGCAGATTACGTTAAGGAGAAAATCGCCACTCTTGAAACATCTGGAAGACTGAACTTGCTTGGACTAAAGAGAATAAGATGTAGTAAATGCTACTGATACTCACGCTTTCCATCTGAAAACCAACTGGTACCTAAAAATTAATTGTTTTTAAATAAAGATAATCAGCAATAGATAAGAATAGTGTATAGTATGTAACTCAAAGCTATAAACTTTCTTGTCTGTAAGCCAATCAGGGAAACAGTTGAAACGGTGATGAACTAATGATGCAATCTTACATCGTTGACAATGCATCATAACCAGTTATTATGCGGCCAGCACCATTCCACCCGGGGGAGAAGAAGGGGGAGGGGGGGGGGGGGTGAGAAATTCCCTCAGCAGCTTTTTGCTACAGCCAATCCTGCTTTCGTTGGATGGGCTACATTGACCCAAGTTCAAATGTCGGCGCAAAGTACAGTACTCGTTTCAACATGCCGATTTTCCTTACAATCTTTCTCATTAAAGTAGTTCAGTCAAAAGTCCATCACAGGTCCGCTCCTAATTGATCCTTCTCGCGTTTGATCAGGCTGCCAAACAATTCTGCTTCGCGGTATAGTGGTTCTGGTTACAGAGAGGCAATGTGACAGGGAAGTGCCCAAAAGGACATCGGGAAGAGAAAACAAGGGCCCCCTTATTTTCTCTTTCAACAAACCAATGGCCAGTTTTCGACCCCAGACCACTTCACTCAAGAATCAAATGCCCTAATCTTATTCAGCCATGTGCGATAGTTACGTTTAATGTATTAATGTACCTGGTAGCCTTGTTTGTTACTGCCCTGCATTTTTAATATCGAATAAACTCCTGACAACAAACAATTAATAACAATTGTTAGTAAAATGAAAAAAGTAAAACATTAATAATTAGAAGAAATAATAATACATTAGCAGAGCTAGGGTTCAATTTTTTCAACATATTTCAAACAGTTTAAAAAGTACTTAAAAGTCAATAATAGTCAAATGTTTACTGTATTTTATTCATGAACTCCAAAGCAGGAACACAATTAGCCTGCGTAGCAAGCGTTTCCATGGGGTTTGGTAGCAAAGAAAGACCGAGGAACGGGATTTTCGGTGTTTTGTCTGCGCGGAAAATGAGGCGAGAACCAAAAAAAAAAGAAGGAGGGGGGTGGGAGAGGGGAAGGAAGGAAACGCTTGCGGACAAACCCCTGGATTTTGAAAACCTCCGTTCGCCTGCGAACGGAGCTCGTGATTGGCTGGGCTAGTCCAATATTATTGACATGTGTCGATCAAAGGTATTTTAATAACTTCAAAGAGGAATTTGGTTCGTGGTAAATCCCTCATAGCTTTCCTTAGAGGTGTTAGGCCTTAAAAAAGTTATGAATATTTGATTGCCGTCTGTAAAAATATCGATATATTTGGGATTTTGTTGTAAATTACCATGAAAATCCACTACAACTTGCACGAAAATGTTGTTGGTAATTTTTTTTAAGGGAGAAATATGAATGAAATCGCTGCATAGTAAGGCGGCAACAAATATTGAAAGCACGAAATAAATGGTATATTCTGAGGCACAACCAAAAATTTAGAGATTTCTGTTTACCTATAGATTAAATCAGTTTTGTCACTTCTCTGCATGTATAGCGAGTTACGATAGCGCTTTATATCAGCTTTCGAACTAATCGTTAATCCATTTTATTACATGGCTAGCTCCGCCAGCGGGCAAGATGAACCAAATTACTGATGCGCTCTGATTAGTCAACGTAGCGGGAACGATGAGATTTTTTCCTGTAGGGATCATCTCCTGTTTCCCGGACGAAAATGTTGTTGTTTATGTCATGTAATATATCCTTTATTAAGCAGACCAAGTTTGCCCGGCTAAGATGGCTAGATATTGGTCGCGATGTTATTTTAGCGCCTCGGTCCACAAACACGTCCCCTTGACTTAAGGCTTGATCAAGCCATGAAAGTGATGGTAGCGTAGCGCAAAGAGTACCTCGCAGAACTGTTTCCCTGAACAAAACAAAAAGCAAGCAAAATATAAACTTAACGAAATTTATTTGCCCTTCTGTATTCGGTTGCATGTCAAAGTTTGCTCTTCAATTTAGTCCCTCCAAAAATACAATACAATACAATCAATTTTATTATTAATGTCAATACAAGGGGCGAGTTTGCACTCATGTATGCCAGAAGCTCGTGTAAAAAACGCAATCGAATTACACTATAAATTTTTATGTTCTGATGGATCGGAGCAAAAGATCTTTATACATGTAAGAAATGTTAGCTTTGTTTTTGATGTTTCTTACAACGATTACACAACGATTTATTTGCACAATACTGGTTTATACACCACGTAGCTTTCATTCCCATGCTCATTTAATTTTACTTATTTAAACTGAGGAGTGGTACATTTCTTACAAATGTATACAGGGATAAGAAAAACTGATTGCACAATCCACTCTTAGAACTATAGTCAGGTTGTTATTGAGGCAAACTGAACGCAGAATAACAAAGTTCTACGTACTTAAAAACTGATTACGTATAATTTTTCGGTAATTCGTACTTCTTCGATTAAGCGCCCGGTACTCATATTTTTAACTATACAAATATGATCTCCTTGTCAATCTCCACAATGATTGAATCTATTTGATTCATATTCAATGTTTTTGTTTTCCCAGAATAAAAAAACTGGAGTAATACCGTCCTCTCTTACTACATACATTCATTCATTCACGCATGCTGGCGGCTTTTTCAGGACAGGGGTGGGATTATATTTTGAATTTCATGATTGCACGGGGGTGCATAATCGAAGATGGCAAATGAAATGTGTGTTATTCTACAGATACAGTAAAATATGAGTACCCATGCCGATCGTTTCCGCACAGCTTCAAAATGTTGTACTGTCTACATTTTCTGATTGACATTTATGTAATATCTTTCGCCGGTGCTTTCTATGAAATGAAGTACTCTCCTGAGAAAAAAGTAGCTATAATATGCACGTGAGCACTTTAAAATGCACCGTTGTTGCTGAGCCAACAATGAGTGCTTTACTTTACCTAAGGCGATTTACTGTTATGACTGTTTTTACCTCCTGAGTAAATTACTTTTTTGCTAGAGGAGACCAATATATGTGCCAAGGCTATTTCTAGGCAAATGTTGGCACGATTAACACAATGAAAATAAAAAAGAGTGCGATGGCAATTCCAAAACCAATGGCAAGAATTGCTGAAAATTTTGTATCTCTGGATGCGTCCACAGCTCTTTTGAGGTCATCTTCTTCATAGCGCTGATTAGTCTGAAAAAAAAAATGTTACTTAGTTATTTAGTTTTTCGACTACAGAGATTCCTACTAACAGAGCTTCAGAGGAAGTGGGGGACCCATGCAAAGCCATGGTCCAAAGCCATGTGGCTCACATAAACTATGCATGAGTTAGGTAATCCGTACAACAGAACATTACAGTAATCCAAACGACTAGTTACAAATACATGAGCAAGAATTTCAGTTGAACCTTTGCTAAGATATTTCCAGGTCCGATCAATGTAGTATAACTAATAAGATGCTATTTTGCAAATCTTATTGAGTCCATTCACAAGAGACCATGACCTAGACGATCGTCTTAACTACAGATATTCCAATCAACAGTGGGTTGATACCAAGCTTATTCAGTTGCTGACTGGCACAAATCTGAACAAACTCGGTCTTATCATCATCAACATCATTTACTACGAGATTATCTTTAACCATCTATCATCTCAGGTGGTCGATGCAAGCTTCCATGGCAGCGATCAAAGACAGGTGGGAAACAACATCGCCCAGTCTGAACACAAAGTATTGAGAGCTGAGTATAATCAGCATGACAACGCTCCNATGACAGCCGATGACAGCACGAAATCTCAGTGTGCGCGCTCAGGCATGAAAGGCCAAGTGGGCGGTTTTCCAAATCCAGGGGTTTGTCTGCAAGCGTTTCCTTCCTTCCTTCCCCTCCCCCTCCCCCCTCTTTTACTCGCTCCATTTTTCGCGCTGTAATTATTCTTTGCTCCCGAACACCACAGAAACGCTTGCTGCGCAGGCTAGAACACAATATTTTTTATTGTTTTTTAAATATACTTTGATACAAATATTAAACAAACTAAACCATCCGTGACATGGCTGACAGAATGTGTCTTTGAGGCTCATTATTATAGCATTAGGTCGGCTCAAACATCAGGATATAAACTTTCAAACAAGTTCCCACAATGCCCCAGACAACAAACGTCTCACAGCGTAGGTCTCGAATAAGATGTCACTGTCTTGTGCAAGATCATTACAAGACACAACATCAATATAATTGGCACACTGAAAAGCTAGAGGAAAGCACGCTATTGGTTTAGGCGGGTTTGTCAGGTACGTGATATATACCAGATTAACGTAAATTAAACAATTACGCGGAAACGTGGAAAAGCACGTTGAATACTAATAAATGTCAGTCACATTTGTGTTCAATAACAAACATGTTCAAGCGGTAAAAGGCAGTAAGAGCGACATACTAAAGCATGTCTGGCATTATTGATATGAGATGTATATTCAGAAAGAATAACAAAGCGATTTAGTTCTCGTAAAAACAGCCTTCTGACTTGTTTACATGTACTACGACTCACGAGGAACAGTGCGGAGTTATAAGCATCATCATGATGTGGAATTTTCAGCACTAATAAAATGGCGGCGGTAGCTGCCACAAATCACCCGTTCGCTAATCTCAGCAGCTAGGCAGACACCACACACCTTACTATATGAATATGCTAAGTGGCGTAAGTGAACGATCGTTCCTGTTGCGAACTAGTCGAACAACTGCGTCAGAAGCGTTTCATAGGTATAAGCCCAACGCAAACTTTGCGAGAGTTTACATCACGTATGTTCGTACTGAGGTCAATAATTAATTCAATAGGATGGAGGAGTAAATACATCAACTAATATTCAGCATACTTCTGGATCGTCGCCATATGAAATTGACGATCATCTTGTGATGTTAGTTTTTGTCAACGCCAGCAAACCGTTATGTAGAAACTGCATGCTAGCAAAATTGTCTTGTCCGATGTTACGTGAAAGAAACAACATCTCCTAGAACGTGTAAATACGTAAAAAAAACTGTGAGCCTACCTCAAAGGTAACGAAGTAAGAATATGTCCCGTCTTGTGAGAATTAAAAGCTATTCAGCTCTAGACTGTTGAACTAATTCCAAGCCAGCTGATGTCAATTTACTGTGGTATGCCGGAGTATCACTTACGGCCAAACGAGGTTTAAACTCACGGAAAAGTGCGCGTAAAGTTTCACGCTCACACGTCGGTCAGCCGCGACAGTCAGTGATCACACTATTGAGAAGTTTACCACAACATAGCATTCATTCTATCCATTGTTCTTTTAAAATATTAAATATGCCAGGTCACGAAAGTTGATACCGTGAGTTCTTAACATTGTAAACAGGGAAAATGCCTCGCGAGTGAGTAGAAGTCCTATTCCAATAATCTGTTGTTCCTATGTTTACAATCTTAGGAAATAGACCACCAGAAGGCTTGCTTGCTCAAGTTTAACCATTTGTTACTGCGATCAGCACGTCATTTCCCTTCATAAATACAAAGCCGATCAAGCAAACCGGTTAAGGAGAAGAAAAGTTAACTTACGCGCCAAAACTTAGAAATTTAATAATTGTCTGAGGATTCTGGATATTTTACGCGAAAACTTCCCTTTCTATAAGAAGATTTACAGAGGCCAGTAAAATGTTTCACATGTTTTGGATCACATAGTTGTATAAAATTCTCACCGATTGCAATAGCCCTGAGCCATTTTAGATCATCTTGGAGTGCTGTATCGCAAATATCACGAATCCGAAGAACACCACAAAATGTCACGTTACCCCGTCTGCACCAGACACAAACACATTGCGAAGTAATGTTTTTTTCTCTTCCTTCTCTCAGGCAACACTCCTGACTTGATGGATAAAACACTGATTAACTGCAGCTCAATTCAGAAAACTGCTTATCATGATTAGATTTACGTGAATACATGCGACTTGTTTAGCAGAAGGAAGAATGGCAATTGCGGTTCGAGAAATCGAGTTTTCTCCTAACACTTTGCCTAGGCAGTCAACAATTGCTTCGAATAACAGTGTGGTTGTTCAAAAAATCGGGATTGTACAATTTGAGATTCGTGATGCTAGAAATGCAATTTCTCTTTATTCAGAAACTAAAAATAAAAGTATAAAATGGGAGAAATTAGTTTTCATTGTAAAGCAAATTTTCCCAAATCACTGTTGATGTGTTTTATTTTCCTGACCGTTTACGATAATATGGAACATTTTTAGGATCAATATATAAGACTAGTTAATTAACCTTTCTGACAGCAGGAGGCTCAGTACGCTAGCCTATTGAGTAATATATTTTTTACTGTTCTTCCTGGTTTTGCCTCTTTCTCACGATATTCTGTTTTGATTATATATCAACCTTTTCAAAAGCTCACTCAGAAGTCGTCTGTGTAGCCCTTGAATTGATTGATGACGCCTCTTGCAGCCATCAACACTAATACAATAATTCATTATTGATTTTTTTTTTTTTGTCATATTATCATTTCCTTCTTTTATCATGCAAATCTGTCATTGAATGTTGTAACACAAAACCCCGAAGAACATTCCAATCATTGAAATGCAAACGAGACCGCAAGGTCACGCTTGATCCTTGAGCGGTGTACGTTCGATCTGTGCTTCGCTGAACATCTAATGCTCTCTGCAACGGCTTCAACGTAACTCCAACAAGGAACCCTGCCCTGAGAAGGAATCTGATAAAGTGAAATCACTTCTATCTTACAAGAAGTAATAATTTTCATAATAGGTAAGTTATAGATTCCTTTGCCGCAGTACTGACCAATTTCGAGACAAAGGCTCGTTGTTTAAATATTGCTATCCAAGGTTGGAAAAGAAACGTCATATTTCAGTTCTTTTAGCTCCAGCACCATCGTAACACTAACTAAGATAACAGGTACAGTGGTGTTATTTATTTCTGTCAAGCTTGAAAAACTGAAGTTTAGTCCAACTTCGATGTAAATGAGCAATGAACAGAATGATCATATAAGTCAGTCGAAATCAATCATGTGCTATAAACAAATCTGACAGCAACTTTATCCTCAAGTTTGTGGCGTTAAGATTCCTCAGCCGCATTCGTTTGTTGCTGGCAATGCATTTAATTGTATCTTCTTTCACGTGTTCAGAATCTGCTACTCAGTATGATTTACTAATTAGTCCTCAGTTAGTACGCAGTGCTAAATGCGTTCTTGTGCAATTTATTTGCAAATTATCGATGATCGGCGACCTTGGACGACAGCAGAATGATCAACGTCCTCGAGGGTTTTAGCACAACACTGACAAATAAAACGCCCTTCGAAAGTTGCGGCGCCCATATTCTTATTAGTCTTGATTAAATTCACGGCCTGAAATTAAAGTTTGCGCATATTCAAATTACTTGTGACAATTCAGTGTTACTGCAGTTTGAATTTACACTCAGTTTTCATCACTGCGTAAGCTAGCGGGGTTAGTACGAGTTTTTTCGCGTCTGTGTTATTCTTACGTCGTGTTGTCATTCCATTCGCTGTGGTGAACTGTACCGCACAATCAGCCGAAATATAAATGCAAATGGAATCAGTAACGTTGTTAGTTTCGTTTACTCCGTAATTATTCCCCCCTATTAAGCTAAAATTTTCATAAAATAACCACATCTTAAGTAGTCTGAAATGGCAGGTGTAACTTCCTCATATAATGTTACACTGGGTGTTTTTCAAACTCATCGGTCTTGAGCTCTCTTAACAGTCGTGCAACAAATTTCGCAATGAAGCTTGGTGTTTCACGTGTTTTAGTCGGGCACTCATGTGTATCCTAAGCTGACTGTTTTAGTGGATGCTTCCTACAATTTGTTTTATTTTATATTGTTTTATTTCTTTAGCTTTGTTGTAATGTACTTTCTTACGCAATCAATCGGCAAGTCTACTGCTTTAAGTCCCTTTATGTTTTGTTAGCCGAAATCGTCATGCAGACATATGAATTATTTTCAGCCAGAGAGGTTAACAACCATTGTGCAATGTCTGGAATCGATTTTTTTTGTTGTTTTAAGTCTGTAGATACAAAGATAACATTTCAATTTATAGCATGCTGTGTGGACCTTGCCTTGCCTGTCCGTCTGGAAACGTTTTGTACCATTTGTGAATTCTGTATAATTGTATAACTTATATAAGTATAGATAATCACGACTGCTGCTCGTGATATTTGAAAATTCCTTTAAAATTGATCAAGCCGTTGGGCGACCACAATTTGAAAGAATTTTCAAATATCAGTAGTAGTGTAAATCCTTAATTGCTCGAGCTTTTATACGCCGGAGGAATTTGGAAACGGAGATTTCATCCTGAAAACGCGTCAAATTTTTTCTCCGAGCGTTTTAGAAAAGCTCCGTTTTCTTGTGGACGGTAAGCCAAACCGTAGAAATAAAGCTGTGCGCGTTTTCAGATTTCTCCGGCGTAGCGCGGACGCTGCCTAATTCATTATGTGACTCTGAGACAATTACGAAAGCACATGTATCAATTTGCAACTCAGTGCAAATTCTAAAGACGATAAATTGTCCTGCTCTCAGCCAATTTTCTCACTTATATGATGATGCATGTAATTTTCCAGGCCCAAAAACAAACTAGTGAGGTGTTTGTCTTGTCAAAGTAAAACCTGTAAGTTCAGCAAGCCAGATGGGAGAAAGGTTGAAGGCAGGCCGTCCAATTGTCTATCAGCAATGCCAGAAAACACGCTAAATATGCGGCTAATTAAACCAAGTTTAAACTATTTTCCTCGAGACTTAATGGTCAACCCTGACCGCTAAATTTGAAAATTAGACAGGCATGGTAATGAGGTCCACAGAGCATGCAATAAATTTAAATGTTATCTTAGTATTTACAGACAAGAAATCAATTCCAGCCTTTGCACAATGGTTGTTAAATAGTTTTACGTAACTATTATCCTAATCCCAGTAACTGAAAATAAAACGAATTGGCTTTTAATTTTTATTTTTATTCCTTACTAAGGAAATGGAGATAAGCAGGACCGAAGAAGATGCCGCATACCGGGTACAGATGTTAATTAAAATCGTAATTTTAATTTTAAAATACTGTCAGTGCTTCTCAGCACTGGTGGAAGTACCATGACACCAGTTTTTGACAATTTGTTCCTATTGAAATCATAAATGACGAACAATGATATTGGCAAACAACAGTGATTTCCGAAAAAAAGAACTGATACAAAAATCTGTTACTGATGTTTTATTTTACTGCTTTATTGTTGTTCTTCTCTATTATTGGTAGTGGTAATGTTATTTTTGTTATTGTTTTGTTTTGTTTTGTTTTTTTTTTTGTTTTGGCTCTCTTTTTTTTGGTAGTGGTACACATGTAAGAGGCTATGTAAGGGTTTTCAGAATTAGTTTTGTCCTCGAGAGGCCTTGGCTATGGCGTGATACCTTACGAGGGCGCATCGCGCATAGCAATCGAGAACGAATAATCTAATTTAGTATAAACCTACTAGTCTTTCAAAATTTTATCTAAATCCTCTCAGTATACAGACACTTCGAAGTGACCGTCATTTTGTTAACAACCGCAAATTGCTAGGATTCTCATTATCTACAACAGAATAGATTCTGAGTAGCATAGGCCCGGGGGGGGGGG